CTCAGAGGGCGGTGTCCAGCCAGACAGGCACCGCTGCCAGCGGGGGTGAGTGTGGGGTGGAGGCAGCCTCCGCTGAGACCTCCAAACTCAGCTCAGCCCTTCCCAGCTGGAAACCCCGGACCAGGGGTTCCACTTGGCGACCCTCAGTTTTCCCAGCTGCACACTGGGTTCAGAGCTCCTCTCAGCAGGGCTGCTGGGGCCTAGGGGAGCTTGGGGCACGGTGAGGGCCTGGAGGCACCCGGCGGGGGTACAAGGTGGGTGGGGCAGCCTGAGTCCCCGGGCCCTGAGTCCTACCATGAGCTGTGCGTGGCCGTTCTGGAAGGAGCCTCCCGAGTCCCCGTTGCCCTCCTCCTGCCGGTCAACCACACGGCATTTCACAGCGTCCTGGACCTGGGGAGGGAGAGCCGCGCACCTCAGTGGTAGCCACGCCCCTACCCTGCGCCAGCGCCAGATCAGGTGAGCAGCATCTCCGGGGTGGGGGATGGGGGGCGGGCGTCTCGGGGAAGGGCAGGGCCCCCCAGCGGGAGGCCTCCTCACAGGGCCACCTCTGGTCTGCAGGGTCATGACCCACTGGGTGGAGAAGGGGAAACGAGACCCCAGGAGGGGAAGAGCCTACCCCTCCCCTGAGATTCTCTCTACCGAGCTCCCAGTCGCCGAGAGCTGCTGCAGGCCCTCGGGCCAAGGTCTGCCTGAGAGAACCTGCAATGACCTGCGGGGGGCCGAAGATGTCCCTGGGCCCGGCCTGCATCTCCAGCAGCCTCAGCGTCGTTGCCGCCTCTGAGCCAGTGGAAAGCCTGGCCCTCAGTGCCCTGGGAGTGTCCGCTGGAGGCGTGGGGTGCTGTGCCAGGGACCGTGAGCCTGGCCCTTCCCCACAGCCACCCCACTGGGAACGGCACACTCTGTCAAGGGGGATTTCACCCTTCACGGCCACCCACTCTTCGGGGGGACAGTGGTGATGACGGCAGCAGGCTCTGTAGGAGGGGCTACAGAGGAAGACCTACCCAGCGGCCAGCACAGAGCTTACGGACAGGGAGCTCCCAAGGAGGTAAAGACATCATCTAGGAATGTCAACTGTCCCTCCCCTGGGGCCAGCAGCCACCTCCTGCTGGCTGCTCTGGGCAGCACACTGACACTCCATCCGGTGGTAACAGTGTATAAAGGAATCCTTGGGGGTGGGGGGGCATGAAAGCACAGAGGGCTTCCTGGAGGAGGCATCCAAATAGAAGTTGGCAGAAGCAGAAAGAGGGCAAGCTGGGGCTCCTGGTTTCCAGGCACCCACCTACCTACCCACTCAACCACGGACCTGTGGCCCCGTTCCCTCACCCAGTGCTCTGCTTCATGCTGCTGGGGGGCTGAGGACACCCAGCCCACCCCTCTCATCAGGCAGATGGGGACCGAGGCCCAGAGTGGGCAAGAGAATTGTCCATGGCTTCACAGCTGGTCAGAGGCAGGGCCAGGCCTGGAAGCCAGGGTCTCGCTGGCCTCTGACCCCTGGACACCAGCTAAGGACTCCAGGCCGCCACGACAGGTGTGCCTTCCTGCCATCCTCTCCCTCACGGACTTGCCCTGCAAATGCCTACTGGGCACCTAGCGTGTGCCCGGTCCCACAGGCAAGTAGGGAAGTGTTCTCTGTGGGCGAGCAGAGGAGCTGGGGCTCCCCAAGTCCCTCCAGTACCCTCTCCGGGAACGCCCGAGCCAGCCTTAGCCCAGGAGGCCCCGGCTTCATTGGTAGACAAGGGACTGACCTGCCCATCTGCAGGAGTGTCCCAGGCCACAGGGCCGGCTGGGCTGCCTGGCATGGCCTCCACCTGGCCCAGCCTCCTCAGCGCGCCCTGCAGCCCTGGCCACCACCCCTGAGGCTGAGGACCAGGGTAGGGCTCGAGGCCCCCTGCTACCAGGCCCAGGCGGAAGCCCTCTCTGGGCAGGACCTTGAAGGCCCTGCAGCATGCAACCCACACGCAGGGGCTGGGAGCTCACTGGGGGCTTCAGGGAAGTCTGGCCCTGGTGTCCTCTGTCCCCAGCCACCATGGGAGCATGCCGGGTCCCCTTCTTCTCCGACCCCATGTGACAACCAGGAGGCTTCTTGCACATCTGAGACCCCCAGCGCCAGCTCTCTGCTCCGGGTGGCCCCGGGCTCTGCCTGCCTGGAGCTCCTCCTTTTCACTGTCTCCTTTGCAGCTCCCATCACCGGTCAGTTGGTCCTTGGGGATTCGCCTAGTTGCTTGAGAAATCTCTCCAATTTCCATCTTTTCTATTTTGTGAAACATTTTGCCTCCATTTTCCTTCTACTGAGTTTTGAGCTGCTCTCTGTTTTTAATTTCCACAAGTCTCTTCTTGTTCCTTTTTCATAGGCTACTGTTCTTGTTTCACAGAAGCCAGGTGCTGAGGGCCAGGAGTGTGGCCTCAGAGAACTGCCTGGCCTCAAATCCCAGCCATGGTGACAAGCTCCCGTGATGAGCTCCCTGGAGCTATCCTGTCTGTGGAACAGAGCAGATGGCACCTGCTTTAGGAGGTGCCGTGAGATTCACTAACATGAGTTCATTGCTGGGGCCAGCGCCTGGCCCATGTGTTGCTCACCAGGGTGAGCGACTTCTCCCAGGTGAGGATAAGGAGGGGTCAGTGAGGTTTCTCCTTCCTGGGCTGCCTCTGTCCCCACGCTGTTTTCCTGCTTGTCTGGGTGGGTTGCAGCTCTAACAGGAGCTCTGCTGTCCTCATGAGGAGCCGCTGGGATGTAAGTGTGGAGCACTGTCCAGCTGGTGGCTGGCTGGTATGGGAGCCGTTTCACTGCTGGACATCAGAACTCCGGCTCTTCCTCCCGTCTTTCCTCGAAATCAGATTGCCTCGAGAGGGGTGTTCACACCTCCCTGCAGAGGTTTGGGTCTGGGAGGCCAGAGCTGACACGTGACCCAGGCTCAGCGTGTCCACTTCCCCACTTGTCTCCAGGTGGCACCCCCATCTTCAGCTGTGCCGGCTGCCCCAGGCCAGAGCCCCTCTGTTCACTCTGCCCAGAGAGTGAGGCCCAGGCCGGGGAGGCCAAGCAGGGCAGCCCTGCCCTTCCAGACTGGGATGGAAATCGCCACCTAAGGCCTGGAAAACCAGGGCACCCACGCCTGACGTTCCTGTGGCTGCCAGAGATCCTGGGGAGGCAGCGGGTCCCACTCCTGCCACCCTGTCTGGCTCCCTACAGCTGGCCGAGGCCTGAGCTGTCTCCAGTCAGCTGGGGCCGCACTTCTCATCCTGCTTCTCCACCTGCCAGCTCCCCTGCTGTCGGCTTCTCCCGAATTCTTCATCCTTGGGAACCTGTGTACTTTTCAATAGTCCCTCTGTGGTCTCTCCAGGGGGACCCAGGAAGAGGGAGGTGGCCACCCCGCTCCTGGGCCTTCTGCCGTTCTGGTGCTGATCTGGAAGCTGGTGTCCTCGTCCACTGAGGTCGCCATGCAGCTTTCCCACACTCCAGCCTCCGCAAGAGCATCCCGATTGTGGCCACCAGGTGGTAGCTGGGATGTAGTTTGGTGAAAACCTTCTAGTGACACCTTCTGGAAAGATCCAGAAAACGCCAGAAGCAGGAGTCTCTATTGCCCTGGAAGCTGTCTACTTCTGCTGCTGGCTTCCTTGCTCCTGTAGGCCCCTTGAGGATGGGGGCCCTTGAGGATGGGGGCCCCATGTCCTCCACGCCCCTAAGCCAGGTGCAGGGCATCCTTGGGAAGGTGCTGCACTGCCTGGGCCGCTCCCAGGGACAGTAGGGGGGACACGCTCACCTGCAGACCCCGCTCTCTGGACCACCGAGGCCTGCAGATGCATCAGGGCCACGGACGCTGCACCTACCCACAATCTCCCTGCCAAAGTCCTCGGGGAAGGAGGAGGCCACCCAGCAGCCCCAGGACCCTATAGGAACCCGGCCCGACAGAGGCTGTCCCACCCACCTCTCTACGGAGGATACAGTGCACCATGACGATGACGAAGCCCTCCAGCGAGTCGAAGACGGCGAAGAGGATCTGGAAGAGGGCGGAGCGGCGGTCGGTGACGGCGAGCACGGCCGACATCCAGGTCAGCGCCAGCAGCGGCAGCACCACGCAGGAGCTCCACAGGGAGGCCCTGGGGATGGAGGGCGTCAGCGCTGCCGCCCCAGCCCCTGCCCCCAGGGACACCCTGCCCTGAACCCTGCATCTCCAGGCCTTGGTGGGGACCCAGCCCTAAGGCCTCGTCTCTGTCTCTGGGGGCCTGGGTCAAGCAGTACATCTTCTCTGGGGTGAGTCTCCCTAGGGGTCCTCCACCGCCCAGGCTGCGTCTGCACCCTCTCTCCTCCCTAGGGCTCCCCCAATCCTGTCCCATGCTCTGCCCCTTCCCTCTGGAGCCCATCCCCCAGGCTAGGGAGGAGCCCACCGTCAACACTGAGGTCCCAGCACCCCCCCTCCAAGCCCGAGGCCTCTGAGGGGACCCAGGGACTCAGGAGGGAGGTCCTGGGAAGCTGGGCAAGGGGGAAGGGCTCTTTGGGGAAGATCCAGGTTCCTGACAGTCTAGGAGGTGACGGGGGAGGGGAGACAGGCTGGAGGGAGATGGGCTGTCTGGTGTGGGGTGGGCCAAGTAGGATCCCCTGGTCCAGGCCCCTCAGACAGCCTACAGGCCCCAGGCGAGGGGTCCAGGCCCTGAAGGGCAGAGTAAGATGGCCATGGTGGGGAGAGAGGGTGGAGCCCGGAACTCAGAGACCTGGAGGGAGGGAGAAGCTTGGAGGGAATGAGATAGAGGACAGACGGACGGACAAAGCCAGCAGGGGAGGAGCAGAGGAGAGACAGAGACAACAGACAGACGGGCAGGCGCCTCCTCTTCTTCGCGGGCCAGCTCCGCCCATGCCTCCTGAGCCCCAGCGGCCACCTGCCTATAGACCTGTCCTGCTGCCTCTGCCCCTCAGTGCCACCCCCTCTCCCAGGGAGTCCTCCAGGAGCCCCACAGCAGCCCTCGCTCCTGCCCCTGCAGCCCAGCCTCGCTGGGAGCAGTGAAGACCTGGGCCCCTCCCCACATCAACCCACTGGGTTCTGTGGTGGCCTCTGAGCCTGTGCTCTCCTCCTCACAGTGGGGACACCAAGCTGCTTCCCAGGGCTGTGGGACACCGACAGAGGCCAGCAGGACCCCGGCCATGGCAAGTGCTCAGGAGGTGGTCCTGTGCCTGCCCGTAGGGGGCCCCACAGCCTGCAGGACTGTCATCGCCACCAGGAATGGGTGCTGGCGCCAGCTTCCCTCCTTCCCTCCTCCCCTCCTCCTGCACAGGATTGCCCTGCAGGCAGGGGGAGCTGGGGCAAGTGGACTGAATAGGGAGTAGGGGATCCATTCTGGGTCAGAATGCCAGGCAGTAGCTGGCACATGAGGGCTGGCAGGAGAGATGCTGGAATGACCTGGAGTCTGCCAAGACAAGGCCCCCAAAACCGCATGCTCTGCTCCTCAGCCCTCTCCAGCGTAGCTTGGCCACCAGTGCTGCTCCCACCCCTAGTGCGGGACATCCGTGCAGGGCCCAGCCCCCAAGGGAAATGTGTCTCCATCTCTTGGGACCTCCCAGCAGGCCCAGCCCCCCATGCCACCTCCTGGACTCTCTTCCTCCCCTCCTCCGCCCAGCCCTCTACCCCAGGCCTGGGCCTGCTTTTCTTCAGTGATGCTGTCTGGTGGTGATCTGTCTGGCCCCAGCCTCAGGCGTTACCACAAACCCATGGCTAGGACACGTGCAGGCCCAGAGCCCGGAGCAGCACCCGGACAGAGGGCCTGGGCTTGCACAGCCAGTGCCTCCCAGGTCTCAGGGTACGGTGGCCCTGGCCACACAGCTGCCCCTCCTGCTCTTGGGCATAGGATGGGCTCTAACAGCCTCATGGGACTCCCTCTTCCTGCACAGCTTTGGAGTCTGCTAAGGGCCCCCAACCTCCTTCGCCCTTCCTCTGGCCCTGGAGAGCCTACCCCTGCTCCCCCCGCACTCCCTGCCTGGGAACTTAGGCGGCCGGAGAGGCCTCCCTTGCCCATGATGGTGCCACTCCCTCCAGGCTGCGGCAGCAGACAGGGCCCCGGCTGTCACTCACTGCTGTGTCCCTGCACCTGGCACAGAGCCTGTGATGAGGAGGCCCTCCATCAATATTCACAGAGCCAAGGAATGACTCACTGACACAGAGTAGGACCCCTCGGCTGGGGCCTTGGTTTTCCCATGGCTATAAGCTGGAGAATCTCTCTTCTCCCTTCCAAAGCTGGTATTCTTTGAGCCAGGACCCTGGACACCTCTCCTCACCCAGGTTCTGAGAGGAGGTGCAGGGCCTCGCTCCCCATGGAGACTTCTTTGCCTGCTGCCAGTCACCCCTGCTGCTGCCCAACAGGGGGCTGGGTCTCCAGGCCTGACATTTACAGCCTGATCTGCCGCCGTTGGCAGGCGGCCTGGGGTCTGGGGCCCCGTAAATTACTCCCACACCGCAGCTCGGCCTCTGTAGCTTGGAAACATTTCTGCGGAGCGCGGTGGGAAGGAAGCAGAAAGGCCCGGGAGCCGCTGAAGGGGAGGCCAGGAGTGCCCAGCTGCACCGCACCTGCTCCCGGCTGGAGAGGCAGGTGCCCGGCGTGTGGGGAGAGGCTCTGAGTAACTTTAAAGGGAACATCTGTGTGGCCTCCGCTTCTCTCTGATGGAATGAGACAGGGCCGATCTCACAGCCTCCGCCCCAACACTGGTGTTGAGACAAAGCAAGTGCAAACTAGCCCCAAAGAACCGGAACTTCCCAGGGCCTGGCAGGCCAGTGTGGACACCGCCCCAACTCCGAGCTTACTCCTCCCACCCAGGCTAGCCTCACCCCGACTCGCATCTGCACAGCACCAGGGCCCAGAGCTCTTTCTCCTATGGCTCCTAAAACCCTGGGCCCCTAGTGCCTGGCTCAGGGAGCAAAGCAGGAGGGTACAGGGGTATGCGCCTGGGGGTGCGGCCGTGAAGGCTCACCTTGGGTTGAGGGAGGCAGGGCATGGACAAGATGACCCCTCAGACTGGAAAGCCCAGACACTCTAGGCCAACCGGCCCCACCCACCTGAGCCCAAACCGCCCTCCCTACACACAGCCCCTAAGGCTGCCCAAGCCAGCAGAGCAGCCACTGACTCTGAGCACTTCCTTCCCTGTTCCCTTGGCCCTGGTTGCTTCTTGCTCTCAGGCACACATGCGCGCGCACACACACACACGCATTCACACACTCACCAAAAACACACTCCCACGTACACAATACTCACATGCAGACCCACATGCACACACTTGCACACACAGGCACATGCCCGATTATATACACACACATATACACACATGCCCACACAAAATACCAGGTTGCACTCACACATCATGCACACCCACACATACACACACTGGGTTGCACTCACACACAGATGCACGCTCACAGGTACACACACAGATGCACGCTCACACATACGCATAGATGCACGCTCACACGCACACATAGATGCTCATACGTAGGCACACCAGTTGCGCTCACACAGATGCACGCTCACACATACACACACTGGGCCGCACTCACACACATAGATGCATGCTCACAGGTACACACACAGATGCACGCTCACACATACACACACATAAATGCACGCTCACACATATGCCACATAGATGCACACTCACATGTAGGCACACCGGGTTGCACTCACACAGATGATGCTTGCACACATCCAGGCACATTCTCACACCTGTACACACACTTGCACACTTGTGGCCCCAGTGGTGGCAGCAGCAGAGAACTCCACACTCAGTACACCTGAGGGCGTGCCGAAGGGGGTACTGGGGCAGTAGGCTACAAGCGAAATTAAAAGCCTGGAACGAAAGTAAGTGCTCTCACATGGGCGTGCGCGCATACACACACCTGGTCATGCTCTCCCACACGAACACACACCCATGTACACTCACATATGCACTCATACACACACACACACCTGGTGACACTCTTGCATAGGCGCGCACACACCCACTGGCACGCATGCACACTCACATGCGTGCACACACACCTGGCCATGCTCTCACATGCGTGCTCACGTGCACTCACAGGGAGGGAAGCTTCCCATTAGGCAAGCCAGGGCCAGTCTCCTCACCCCACCACAGAGCTGCGGGGCTGTCGGGCACAGACCCCTGCCCAAGCATCAGCCAGCCTGGGCTCCATGCCAGCAGCACCGGGGTGGGGGTGGGGGTTCAACTCCAGAACCAACAAACCACAGCTTGCAGCCTGGCACACACTCGGGCCCTGGAAGGACAGGACTGACCGCTCCTTCCCAACCGCAACCCGGCCCACAGCTGCACTCCACCCATGCCCAGGCCCAGCCCCACGCCCTGCACCCGTGGTGCCTTGTGCTGCCAGGCCTAGAGCAGGCCTATGGGCAGGACGGAAGGAGGAGCTGGGGGCAGTGGGTCGGGGGACAGGAGTGGCCTAGAAACCCAGAGTGGACGGCAGAAAAGGAAGAAATGAAAGATAAACATAAAACAAACAAAAAGTGACTCAGAGAGCGCAGAGCCCCAAGGGTGGGCCTAGGAGGGAGGTGGCAGCAGAGGCACTAACATGGCGTTACTGGTGGCGTCGGAGGTGGCATCGGCGGCAGAGAGGACTCCACACTCGGCACACTTGAGGGTGCACCCGAGGGGGTGCGGGGGCGGCTGACTGCAAGTGAAATTAAAAGGCTGAAACAAAGGCAAGCGCTCTGCTCTCTGAACCCAGGCGGGAGGGGCGGGGCCAAAGTGCAAAACCAGCCACTCAGGAGTCCAGCCTGGGCTCCGACAGGGATGGTCCTGGGGGCTCTCGGCCACTTCACAAGCTCAGGCCTTGGGCGTGGGCGCTGTGGTGGGCAGGGCTGTGAGCTGCACGTGGCAGGCGTGGGGGGAGGCAGCATGGCGCTCCTGTGCTCAACTGAGGGTAGACCCTGACTCCGTCTGCACAAAGTGGCAAAATTTCCAAAACGAGGCCACTGCACCTTCCGCTCCCCTTCCCGTGTGTCTGAGAGGGAGCCAACCTGGGCAGGGACCTCGTGCAGGTCCTCCTGGCATGTGTATGCCCACGTGTGTGCGCCCATGTGTGCGGGCGTGCGTGCACACATAGACCAGTGTACTGGGCACCCCTCCACCCCAACCTCCATCCCTGTCTATGTGGGCAGTGAATCCCACACGGACATGCAGGCGGGTCTGGGTGTGCTCCCAGGATGTGTGTACCTCACGAAGCTGGCCCGTTGCACACACAGGGCGAGGTGGGCAGAGTACGGGCTGCCTGGGCTTGGCTCTAGTGTGTGCCCACCTGGGCTGGAAGCTCAGCTCCACCAGTCACTCACCCTCCCTAAACCTCCATTTACTCAGCTGTAAGATGGGAACATAACCACAGAATCTGCCACCATGGTTATTCTAAGCAGCAAACAAAACATCCACACTGGGTGAGCACCCGAGATCACTGCTGCTCTTACGACCAGGTAACGGCAGGCAGCCTGCCATGCTCAGACCCCGGATGTGCAGCCCTGGGGACCTCTTCTGAGTGTGACCGCTGTCTCGGGAGCAGTGTGGGACAGGGTGTTACGGGGGCAGGTGGGGCGAAGCCTTAGAGAAATCTGTTCCAGCCTCCATTTCCCAGGCCAGGAGACAAAGCACCAGGACTCCCACCCCGAGTGACAGACCCCAGGGCCACTCCACATACTCAGCATCAGAGGCCAACTCAGCTGGTTCCTAACCAGGACCAGAACCCACAGGCACCCAAGGGGAAGGCTTCCTGAAGCTTCTGTTCACTGGGGACAGGAGGAGCCAAGAAGAGACAGAGACAGGAACAGAGAGAGAGACAGAGAGAGACCGAGCATCCAAGCAAGACTGGCACGGAGGGGAGGGGCCCACACAGACACCAGCCAGGGCTGGAGGACACAGAGAAGCAGGCAGAGGTGAGGGGCGGGGGGCCGGGGGGGCGGGAGGACAAAGAGGGGCTCGTCCGCCCTAGTCACCTCCCCACACCCCGCAGCTTCCCCTCTGTGCCCAGGACCTCGTCCCTGTCCCTGAAAGGTGGGCGCAGCCAAACATCCCAAGCGCCTCCACTCTGCTCCTGGGCCCTGTCAGCTGCTGTGCTGAGAGCACTCCCTGGGCTTGGGTTCCCCGGAGGGAGGAGCATCAGCTCCACCTGTCTCCTGCACCGTCCTCCTCATGATGCAGATCCCACAAGGACAGGGAGTCTCTGCATGGACAGGTGACATTCTCCCCCGGCCATGGAGCAAACCTTGTGGTAGGGGAGTGGGAGACCAGGGACCCCCAGCACCCAGCATTGGGGGTGCCCTGCTGCCACCCTGTGAGCCGGGCAGAGGTGGGGTGTCCCTGCACAATCAGTTTCACCGCTTCTGAGGACTTTACGGGGTCCACCCTGCCCAGGTGAGATGGAGCAACCGTGGCACAGTGAGAGGGGCTGGCTCAGCCTAAGGGGCCTCTGTACTCAGTGCCTCCGTCTCCCCACCCACTCCAGGGACCCTGGACATGCAGTCTCGGACTGGGCATGGAGCATCCTCCATCCCCCAGGAGCCCGGGGCTGGGTGGGCAAGGAGCCGCATGGCCCTGGTCCTACCCTGCCCGCTCCTTCAGCTTCTTGTCCGTGATGCCATCTTTGGACACGAGCTTGTTGAACACCAGGATCCCAATGACCATGTTCACCTGCCGGGTAGACAGGGGTGGGAGTGTGGGGGTGGGGGCCGCCGTAGGCTCAGCGCCGACACTGGTTGGACTGAAGATGGCTATGCTGACCATGACCCCCTACCACACTCAGGGTCACCTCCCGTGCCTCCATCACAGGAACCCCAGTGCCTGACGTGATGTCAGGTGACCTCCAGCCCAGCTGCCAACCATGCAGGGCCCTCTGTGTGTGTCACCCCCACCGTCAGCACCTCTGCTGTGCTCCTTGCATCCCTTCCACCAGGGAGTTCCGCACCCACAGGGTCCAGAGGCCCTTGCCAGCCTGCAGCTGAAACCTGCCTAAGGGACACCAATCCTGGCTCTCCCTGGGGCCACACGCCTCCTGGCTCTCTGCTCTGGGCAGGCCACCTCCTCTCTCTAGACTTCCTTCCTGATCTCCCTCTTCTATTCATCAAACTAACTGCCCACCCCGTAAGGGCCCCGGCTGGGCGCCTGCACCCAGGGAGGCTCTTCTTGGGCTCCAATATGAGTCTCCCATGCCTGCCACTGTCCAGGCTACCACTCAAGGCAAGAGCTGTTTCCGGAGCACCCCGGGGAAGCCACTGGCCCTGAGCATCTGGGGGTCTCCTCCCGTCTCCCGGCCTCCTCTGCGAAGGGGAAGGAGGAGTCTCAGGCCATATTCTCTGCTCCCCAACTGCCAGAGGCTCCCTGAGGCCCTCCTCCTGCATCCCCACTCTGCAGAAAGATGCTGCCAGGACCCCGAGGGGCAAGGCCTGACTTCCTCAGGCCCAGGTTCCAGAAGCTGGAGGCCGGGAGACCCCAGGACTCCATGGACCCCTGGACTAGGCATTTCACGTCCAGAAGACCAGGGTGGTAGACTGTGCAGCCCTCCAGCTTAGGGCTCACAACCACACGCCCGGCCTGCTTTCCACAATGGATGCGGTTCCCAGACACCCACATCACAGCCTTGGCCAGCCTGATGGGCGGTGCCCTCTTTCCTGGGCAGCCTAGTTTTCTGATGGGGCCGGAGCAGAGAAGAGAGGATGGGCCCCAGTGACGGGCCATTGCCTGCAGCAGGCTCTGTCTGGCCTGCAGCACGTGGTCCCAAGGACAGGAGGGGCTGCTGGGGCTCAGGTCGCACAGCCGCCTGAGTTAGACCGCCTTCCTGACACATCCTGAGGAGGGCTGTACGGGGGTAGGGCTCCTGTCTCCGTCCCCTTTCCCACAACCTCCATCCCCAGGTGCCTGGGGCACTGCCCAGCTGGCACTGAGGCCAGCTCTAGAGGTGCTGACAGGTACCCCACTCCTCCCCTGCCTCCTGGCTGGAGGAAGGAATAAAGAAGGTGGGATTCCACAGCCAGGACTGTGAGGAGGGGTCTGGGGCTGCCCAGGGATGGCGCCCCACTGCCCCTCCAACCCCCACTAGGCTCCCCAACTGCCCCTACAGGGCTAGCACCCCCTCACCCCCCATGCACGTTTCTCTGCTGGGTCCAGCCTGTGCCTGAGTCCCCACTAGAAGGGGGTGTGGCCCTACAGAGACACCGCTCATGATGGCAGGAATTACTGGACAAGGATGGCCTCTCCTGGGGGGAGAGGGGAGGGGAGGTGATGCTGGGTGTGAACCCTGGTGCTCTGCCAGAGTAGAGGGACGGGGACTGGCTAAGCAGGCTCAGAGCTGGACCCAGTAGAGGCCAGTGACCCCAGGCAGGTCCCCCAGTCTACTGCTCATCTGTGACCCCGGGACAGTGACCCTGCATGCCACCTGCCACAGTCTTGCCTTCCTCCACACAAAGGTGGGAGAAGAGTGGGAAGGAAAGTCCAAGGACCCACACAGGGAAGGTCCTCACTGGGGCCCCCAAAGGGGCAAGCAGCCCTGGTCACCAGCCTCACATCTGGCGCTCTGGGGCCAGACACCCACAACCCAGGTCTAGCCTGTAGCTCCCCGCTGCTCGCATCACCTGTCCGTCCCCAGCTTCCTCCCATGCCACTCACCACACCCGTGGGGATCTCCTGGCAGGTACACAGCTGGCGCCCAATAATCAGGCAAGCTGAGACTCACAGGTGTGAAGGGTCACTACCCTGGCCCAGCCCCTACACCGCACGCTGAGGGCAGGTCAGAGCGGGGCTGTGGGCACCCCCACTCCCTGGTGATGAGGGCCGTCCTGAAGGGACAGCAGGTGCACAGCCTGGGGCAGGAGAGAGCACCGAGGCCCAGGAGGCAGGTGGGGGGCCCGGACAGGGTTGCAGGGAGTGGGGTCCAGGCGGGTCAGTACCAGCACAACGGCAGCAGCCGGTCCCACGAAGGCATAGAGCAGTCCTCCCTCCAGGGAGAGCCAGCAGCTGGGGAGGAGACAGGCCATCAGCACCGCCCACGTGCAGTGGGGCGTGCAGAGGGGCACTACCGGCCTCTCAGGAGTAGGGGAGGTGAGCTGGGAAGTGGCAGAAGAAAACTAGCACTTATTAAGCGCCTTCTGCGTGCAGGGCAGGTCACACCCGCTCTTTAGACTTAGAATCCTCAGAACCCCTAGGCAGTCATCGTCACTCCCATTTTATAGATGGGGATAGTACCAGAGTGGGGGACCCATCTGCTTAGAGCCACACAGCAGGGGCACCAGGCTGGAAAGGCAAAGGTCACCTGACTGTCCCTCCTTCCCCAGGCCTAGACCCTTCCTGGCTCTTCTTTTGGGGTCTCTGGCAGACCTTCCTTCCTGACGTGATACTCGAATGCCGGGGCTAGGTCCCTGGCCCACAAGGCTCAGGCCCCGTGGCCTCAACACCTGGTCCTATGCTCACACATCTGGTCTGCATCCTCCCCACCACCCACCCAGTCAGTAGCCCCACATTCCCCAGATCTCTGGACACCACCTGTGGTGCCCATGGAAATCTGAAACCCAATAAGGACTGTTCCCTCTGCCCTGAGCAGCCTACCCCATGTCGTCTGTCAAACAAACTCCTCTTCATCCTTCAGAACCCCACTTCAATGTCCCCATCCCCTCCTGATCCATCCCTGGCTCCGGCAGGCCAGGTGTTTGCTTCTCTCATCTCTGGAGACAGTGTTTGGATTTCCCTCTCAGCACTCACCCCCTGGGCCCTCAGCTATGTCCACTCCCTATGGCCACTCAGGGCAGGGCTCCAGGGGGTGCCACATCCTGTTCCCAGGGGCTCCAGAGTGAGCCAGGCCTGCTCCAGTCCTCCCACTCAGCCAGCATCGGTCACTTCCTCCTGCCTCTCGCTTCCCACTGCTCCCCTCCCTGCAGCCAGGCCCTCCCTCCAAGCCTCGGTTCCCCTCCCCCACCCCAGTTCTTCTGCCCATCCTGAGCCCCAGACCCTCTCCCCCCACCTTGGGAACCACACTGCTTTTAGGATGACAGCAAGCTTCCTGGCTTGCCATTTAAGGCCCCAAGGACCTGGTCGAGCTGACTCTTCAGGGTCTCAGTGATGTCATCTGGGAAATAAGCCTCCGACCCCTGCCCTGCCTGCCACAGGCCTGCTGTAGGGGTGTGCCCACTGTGCCCAGAGCGCTTGTGTCTCAAACAGCCCTCCCTCTCATCAGCACCATGCAGAGGTGGCCTCCCCACCGAGCAGATGGGGAAACTGAGGCTCAGAGTGGCTAATGGACCAACTGACCGAGGGGGGCCCTGCGAGCCTGGTTTCTTTCAGTGCCACTGCCCACTGCTGGCTGCCAGGGTGAAGCTGGCTGACCAACAGGGAGGGGCTGCCCAGGGGGCTCAGCCTCCAGTCCCTGGGGCTCCACCCTCCCTGAGCCTCTGTGAGATGGTCAGGGTCACACAGGGGGAAGGCATGGCCAGCCCTCACCCTCCAGGGCAGCAGAAGGCTCTGGGGGCCATGCGGCCATCCACCACACCCCCAATGCCCCGACTCACTAGTTCATGGTGCTGTACCCTTTGGCCTTGGTGAATCCCACGGAAATGGCCACCACCAGTGCAGGGAGCCCTGAAAGAGCAGAGAAAGGGCGTTGGCCCCATCCAAGTCCCCAGCCAGCCTCCACCTCCTCCCAGCCCTGCCTTGGAGGGCAGGGGCCAGGCTTTTGAAGCCCCCAACAGAGGACGGGGCTGAGCAAGAGATGGGGCAGGAGATGAACAAGGCAAGGGCCTGGGGAGCTGGGCGCGGGGCGGTCCCATGAGCAGAGAACGCACAGGGTGCCCGGCACAGCTGACTCGAAGAGAAATCAGGAATCATCTTTTTGTATATGTAAGTCCCAAACAGTGCACCGGACATACTCGTGCTAGAAATGTTTCTGTTATCTAGACATGAAAGGGAACTGGGTGTCCTGTGCTTTACCTGGCGACTCCATGGAGGAACGAGGGCCCAGAGAGAGAAGAGGGAGAAGCCCACCCAAGCAGCAACTGAGGCCCCAGGGGTCCACAGGGCATGGGGAGAGGAGGGGCTGCCAGGGCAGAACAAGCAGTCGGGGCCAGGAGGAAGAACATCTGCCCAGGAGGGTCGGGGAGGCCGCGGCTCACCCCAGCCCAGGCAGAGGAAGCGCTTGCGGATGAGGCGGTTCCGGAGGTGGCCCGTCACGGCCATGTAGGACTGCCAGGCCTCGGTGAGCACCCAGCAGAAGGAGGACAGGAAGAAGAAGTGCAGGAAGGCGGCCACCAGCGTGCACACCACCTGCGTGGGGCCGAGGGCAGGACAGGCTGGGCAGGTGCTCCCCGGCCCCACACCTGCCCCTACTGAGTGCCTGTCGCAGCTGGAGGCCCAGCACCCAGCACCCTCGCTGGGACCCGACCAGGTCCCCAGGCAGAAGGCAATCCAGAGATCACCTGGTCCCTGCCCTGAGATGGGTTGTTGACCGTCTAAGCCCCCTTGGGACAAACAGACCCTCCCTCTCCGTATTCCTCAGCACCATTCATAGCCACACCAAATGCTAAGCAGGGGCCTTTTAAAGTCCAGGTGCCTGCCCATGCATTCAGGAGGTAGTAAGCCCAAGGTCCAGGGAGGGCATGTCACACCCCGAGGACACACAGCAAGTGGCAGGCAACCTCACCCACGCCGCGGCCCTGAGCTTCTGCCACAGCACACGGCAGGCCCTGGGCCCAGGCCTTCTCTGTCTCCCTGCGGGCCTCTTGCTTTATTTTCTCTCCTACACTGTCAGTGTGGCCCCTTGAGGAAGCAGAGGCCCCCAGCCAAAGGCTGTGCCTGCCACACTTAGTGGGATGGGGCGTGGAGACCACAGGGTAGGAACCAGGGATGGCAGGTCTGGGGAGGGCAGGCAGGGGCCCACCATGAGCTGCCAGCTTCAAGGCTGGCGAGGGTGGGGGTGAGAGGGTGGACCATGGGAGCCTCTGTCACCATAGTGCCACTCTTCTTGGGTGCCACTCCCCAGCCCTGAGGCAGCTTGAGCTGAGGCCGAGTCCACTGCCCATAGCGGGCTGGGCAGGGCTGAAGCAGGCTCACCCTGAAGGGCAAGTCCAACAGAAACACTGGGATACAAGCTGCCCTTCCAGCCGGCTGACCAGCCCCTGACAGGCTCCTGTAGCCACAGCAGAGGGCAGGAACTCCCTGTAGCTGGGGCAGCCTCCTCCTGCCCCACACCCACCTGCCTGAGTTTCCCAGGAATCCCACAGCCCAGGCCCCTCCTGGGGTTCATCCTCACCGCCCGAGGATGCTGGGAGGTGCATGACAGGACACAAGGCTGCCTACCTTGTTGCGGGTCTGGGTCTGCCCGATGAGGATGAGGGCATTGGAGGAGATGATGGACAGGCAGAAGTTGATGAGGATGACAGAACGCTCCGAGCGGATGTACCTGTGGAGAGTGTGGGGTCCCAAGGTCAGCACCCAACAGAACCCCATCTGCACAGGAGCTGTGGTCCTGTGGCATTAAGACCAGGGCCCCACCCCATTTCCTGCAGGCATTGTCAACAACAGCACCACCACCATCACCATCATCATCACCATTATACCATCACCACCATCACTACACAATTACCATCATCACCAACACAACCATCACCACACAATTACCATCATCACCAACACAACCATCACCATAATCACCACTATCACCACCATCACAATCAGTACCACCATCACCACCATCACCATAATCACCATCATCACACAATCACTACCACCATCACCACCACATCACCACCACCATCACCGCCGTCACCATCACACCACCACCATTATCATACAATTATTATCACCATCACCATTATCAACATAAGCATCACCATCACCATCACAATCGTTACCACTATCACCATTACCAACACAAACACCACCATCAGCACCACCATCACCATCACATCACCACCACCACCATCACCACCACCACCATCACACCATCACCATAATCACCAGCACCACCAACACCATCACCACCACCACCATCACCATCACAACCATCACCATCACCACAACCACCACAATCACTACCACCACCACCACACCATCACCACCATCACCATCACAACTACCACTGCCACCATCACCATCACCATCACCATCACAACTACCACTACCACCATCACCATCACTGCCATCACTATCACCACCATCACCATAATCACCAGGACCAGCACCACCACCATCATCACAACCACCACCACCACCACCATCACAACCGTTACCACCATCATCACCACCATCACTACCACCACATCACCACCATCACCATCATCAGAATCACTACCACCACCACCCCCACCCCCACCATCACAACCACCACCACCACCATCACAATCACTACCACCACCGCCACCACCACCACACCATCACCACCACAACCAGCAACTACCACCATCACCATCACTCCCATCACCACCACCATCACTACCACCATCACCATCACAACAATCACCACCATCACCATCACTACAACCACCACCACACCATCACCACCACACCATCACCACCATCACAACCAGCAATTACCACCATCACCATCATCACCACTACCATCACTATCACCACCACCATCACAACCACCACCACCACAATCACCAGCACCAGCACCACCAACACCATGACAACCATCACTATCACCATCACTACTATCATCATCACAACCAGCAATTACCACCATCACGATCATCACCACCACCATCACTACCATCACTATCACCACCACCATCACAACCACCACTACCACTATCACCACCACCAGCACCACAATCACCAGCACCAGCACCACCAACACCATGACAACCATCACTATCACCATCACCATCACTACTATCATCACCACCACCACCACCAGCACCACCAGCACCACCATCACTACCATCACCACCACCACAATCACCACCACCACCATCATCACTATCACCACAATCACCAGCACCATTACCACCATCATCACCATAAACACCACCACCAGGACCACCATCACCACCACCACCAGCACCCCTTGGGGACTGAGGTCCACCCAGGTGGAGAGTAGAGGGCACAGGGCTGAGCCTCAGGGGCTCTGACATGACCCTGATGTGCTGCATGACCTTGGGCACATCATGTTCTCTCTCTGGGTCCCCACTTCCTCATGGGGACCACAGAACAATCCCTGCCGGCAGTTCACAGGGCACAGGGATGGCCAAGAGAGCTCACCAAGGGAGATGCTTTGAAAACTGTCGGCAGAAAACCTCCTCAGAACTCAGGACATCAGAGCTGAGTTCAGAGGCCCTGAACCCAATTCCCCAGATGTTTTGTGAAATCAAGGCCCTAGGGGAAGGCAGGTCCCAGGAAGAGGAAACACCATGGTCCCCCTAGGCCCCCTAGAGCCCAGCGGATGCTGTCCCGTCAGGCAGGACAGTGGAGGGCTCCTGCCACTACTCACAACCCGGTCACTGTCTCCAGGAAAGCTCAGCCACCCTTCCCCCGCCAGCCACATCGACCTCCCAGTGCCCGACCTTGGGCAGCAGCCAGGCAGTCAGTTCCGATTATCGGCTGACATCGCGCTGCCTGCAGAGTCCCCACTCAGCTCCGTGGGCAGTGAGTGACCTTGAGTCCTTGCTCCCTGTTCCACACTTCTACTCAATGGGACAGGAGCAGATAGCGGGGTGTGCCTGGAGGCGCGTCCACACACTCAACAGGCATGTTACTGCTCAAACATGAGCTCTCCTCCACATCTCGCCACACCTGCCCAGGTGGCCTCAAAAACCCACTGGCCACAATCAGAATGGACAGCAGGCTGGGAGCCCTGTGGCCTTGGGGAAAGGGAATTTGGGGTGGAGAGTGAGCAGGGATTTGGGGCCTTAAGGCCTGACAGGGGGTCTGGGGAAGGCTGTGGCCTGGCCTGCAGGCCTGAGGGTAGACAAGGAAGCCAGGAAGCACAGGCAGAGGGGGCACACACAGCTGGGGAGGGAACTCAGTCTGGCATTGCCAGGGAACACGTTCAGGGGAGGGACAGCAGGAACCGGGCCCCACCCCCTGTGTTTGTGCAGCATGGACACAGCATGAGTGTGTGGGGTGGCCTCAGGAACCTGTGGCGGCCTTGGAGAGGCCACAGCAGGGCTGGGTCTGTGGCAAAGGCGGAGGTGATTGGGAAGGTGAGGACAAAGGGAGGGAGGGGCTCCCGCGACCCCATCCGTGACCTCAAGGGGAAGAGGCGTGGGACGCAGGAGCCATGGCCACCCGTGCCCAGCACCTGCGCGGCACCCACCTCCACACGGACACGTAGATGATGACCAGCATGAGCAGGGTGAGAGAGGACACGCCACAGCCCACGATGAGCGTCACGGACGGCAGAGTCCCCTTCTCCATGTTCTGCGAGGAGCGGGAAGAGACCGCGGGGAGTGAGGCAGCCCGCATGCCTACTCCGCAGACCCAAAGACTGAGGCCTGAGAGCCCGCAGCCTTGGGTCACACCCCCAGCGTCCAACCCAGCCCCTCCTCCACCTCCCCGCCCGCCCCCTGCAGAGGAGGGGTTTCCTCTCCAGCCCAGGCCCTCGAGAATTCCCTTTCAGGGCTGTGCTCCGTGAGGATGGGCCCTTTGCCCATGCCCCACAGTCATATGCCAAGCCCGATGGCAGATAAGCCTTTGCCGCCATCATGGCAGGCGCCAGCCCCGCACTGCAGACGGGCCAGGGAGGTGCCAGGTCCAGGCCCATCCACACACACAGTCCTCTCAGGCCCAGGCTTTGAGAAACCCAGGGGCAGCAGCCACTTTGGCTCTGGCCCACCCCATCCGAGATGCCATCCAGCCAGGCCCTGACACCCCACACCCACCCGTCCCTCCACAGCCCCGACACAATCCAACCAGCTTCCTTGCACCGTAGCCCTCCCCCCCCGCCCCGGCTCCACAGGTGACTCTGTGTCACCTCCATAGCCCCTCAGTCCCCTGCAGCCTCTAGGCTCAGCCGCCAGCCCTGGCCCCAGTCTTCCCCACCTCTAGCCCTGCCCTGTGAGCTCTTCTCCAGCCACGGCAGGGTTGGGGAGGTTATCAGCACACTGGAGGGCACCTCTGCCCTGCTCAGAGGCAGGAGAGTATGGGAGCTGGGGTGTCATCTGGGTGCTGGGGTGACCCGAATAAAGTGGGCCCTTCCTCCTCACCACCTGGGGGGTAGTTTAGGTGACTGCCCCTCCCAAGGGAGGGCCCCCATTCCTCACTGACTCTTCTGCCCTGGGCATTGTCCAAATGCCCCACCCAGCTCTGCAAAGGCCACTGGACTGGCCCTGGCCCTGCCCCTGGCCAGCCTCCCTTTCCTGAAGAGAATGACCCTAGCCCCCGAGGCCCCCTGGTTCCCTTCAGGGCTCTTCCCCAGCGGTGCCCCCAGAAGACCCTTCCCCACTTCACATGACTGTGCCTCTGGCCACTGCACTCAGCTCATCCCCTCCTCAAAAGGGCCTGGGCCGGTGACAGATCCCGCCATTCCTGACTCCGTGGCCCTGCACAGCCCCAGTACGCCAGGCCTGAGGACAGACAGGGAAGTCAGGTGGCTGAAGGGCATGCACAGGTGGGGAGGGGCCTCAGGCTGGCATCGCTTCTGTGTGGATGAATTCACCCTGAGCAACTGCTCAACCCATGGCCCGAGTCAAGCCAGGCTGAACCGCCATGCCTGGGGCTTGCTGGCACACGGCAGGTGGGTGTATGCCCCGGGGGCATGAACAAAGGCTCCCTGCACACAGAGCTTCCAGACGACTGGAGAATTCAGGAGAAAGGGGGTGCAGTCCATCTCCAGGCCCTCGGAAGGAGGCAGAGGTGGTCAACTGGGCAGGAAGGCGAGGCCTGGGGAGAAGGGGGCGATTCGGGCACCCCTCACCCTGAAGCTGACGCCTTCCTGGCCCCCGCCCCAAGTCTGCTGACCCTGGCATGTTGCACTGTCTCCTAAAGCCCCGCGCAGCCCTTCTTGCCCTTCAAAGTGCTCAATGTCCCCTGAGCCAGCCCAGCTGCCCTGCGGCCCCACTCACCCCAGCCTGGGCTCCCCCTTCCCCTCAGTCCCCACACTGCTCTGTGCCCTCCATCATGAACATACTGTTCCTGCAGCCTGTACTGCCCTTCTCTGCGTTGTCTCCTCCAGGCAGCCTTCCCTGCCTCCCAGGCCCTGCTGGCATCCCCCTGATCCAGTCCAAAGCTAGATGTGGCTACTATCCCCACAGCCGAGTGTCCTCCATGTCCCCGAGCCCCCGAGGGCCCTGCCCAGCAGAGATGCTCAGTCGACATCATGAGCCACATGAATGAAGATGGGGAAGGCAGAATCCTGAAAAACGGGGGAACTTGTCCAAGATCATCAGGTGGCACAGCAGAGGGTCCGGCTCAAACATAAACCTTGGTTTCCAGACTCAGAGCAGGGCCCCGGGGATCGGGGGCTCAGCATCTTTGCCAGGACTCCTGGCTCAGCCTAGCTTGCCTCTGCGCTGGCTGGGTAACCTCAGGGTCCCACCTGCCCCAGCCTTGTTCTCTGCGGGCTGCCTTGCTGCCATCTCCCTGGGCCAACCCCGTCCTCCTGCCCTCCTGGGCATGCCTGCCCCAGCTCCCAGCAGTCTGCACTTCTGCCTCCATGAAGCCAGCCGCCTGCTGGTCTGCGAGGCCGAGGGCTGCAGCAGCCTTACCTGAATCAGAGTGTGATGGTGGAGCCCTGGGGAGTGCCATTCGAAGCCCCTGTCTGGTGAGGGTCTTGCCCTTCGAGGACTCCCTATCCCCCACACCCCCTTGCTCCTCCCACCCCTAGCTCCTCCGAACGCCACTCCAGGCCAAAATGAGGCCTAAGTTCGCCCACTTGAGGCTCTGTCCTTGGGATGGTACAGGCCACACCCCTGATGTGCACAGACACACGCACCTGGGGCCCACACACACACACCCCCCTGGGGCTTGTACACACACACCTGGGGCCCCCCAACACACACCTGGGGCCCGCACACATGCACACACCTGGGGCCTGCACAGACACATGACTGATACCTCCCACACCTGGCACTTGCCTCCAGGGCCAAGCTGTGCTGCCCAAGCATGCCAGGTGCCACAGCTCCAGCTGTGCCTCCCCGGAATGAGAGTCGCCTTCTCTTCGTGTGCAGAAGTACTTCCAACCCACTAGGCTTTCAAAAGCCACTGCCTCCAGACAGGCCCCTTGAACTACCCCAGGTAGCGTTGCTCACCTCGGTTGTCTAAACTACGCTCTGGGAGGGCAAGATGGGGACGGTGATGCCGTGCCCGGCAGGGAGCTCTGCTCAGCACCACTCCTGCATGCCACAGCCTGGAGCTCAGGCCTCAAACCGGTGGCCCTCTGGGATTGAAGTCCCATCACCCGATCACCCAGTAATTCTCCCATCAAAACTCACCTGCCAGCTCTCCCCCCGGCCCGCCTGATCCCTCCCAACCTGGCCCATCAGTCACCAGTAATTTTACCAGTGCAGAGCTGAAGCCCAGGGCCAGGAGGCCAGCTGGATAGGGGCAGGTGGGAGACAGGGTGACCCCAGTAAATATTTCCAAGACACTGGACTGGCCTGAGGCTGGCCAGCCACGAAGATCACAGGCGGCCGAGGAAGTGTCTTGCGCCTGCTCTGAGGCTGGCTCGGGCCCAGGCCTCTGTGGCCATCTGCTTCCGCCTGCCCTCGTTAGGCCTGGCAGCCGCAAGCCCGCCAGCTCTCCCACTGGTCCACCTGATCCCTCTCCTCCCTGCCTGGCTCATTGGTCACTCCTGACAGCCCTTGCTCAGCAGGTTCCAGGCGATGGAGAAGGGATGGGCGGTGGCCTGGGCAGGCCCAGGGGTCCCAGGCCTTGCTAGGAGGGGTAGACCAAGACTGGTCTCAACTCACGCCAAGGGGATGCAGAGCCAGGCTGGGCCTCCGCCGGAGACTGGCCCAAGCCAGACACAGCTCAGGCCAGGCCCTCGCACATGCCAGGTCCCCTGCCCTGCAAGCCTTCCCAGAACTTCAGGCGCCTGGCTCTCCTCTCAGCAGAGAAGTCACCACTTCACAGAAGCCCTACCTGCACACTAGGTCTGAACCAGCCGGCCCCTCTCACCAGTGGTTTTTCCTGGGGTGATGGGAGTGTCTGCCAGTTTCCACCACATGAACTCCCACTCCTAATCTTCTCCTGAACCCAATATCCACACTATGCCCCCTAAGGACTCATTTCTACCCACAGTACCACCTTCGTCCTGCCACTGCCCCAACACCATCTATGGCTCCCAAATGCCCACAAAACTAATTCCTGTCTCTAGTCATAGACTAAACCCTGAACCCCATCATACTGACCCCGACCCAGATCATACCCCGAACCCCAATTCTCATCACACCCTGGGCCCTGAACCCAGCCTCACACTAAACCCTGACCCAAGTATATTCTGAGCTTTGATCTCAGTCATACCCTAAGCCCTGATCCCGGTCACATCCTGAGCCCTGAGCCCAGTCACACCCTGAGCCTTGATCCCAGTCAGGCTGTGAGTCTTGATCTTGGGCACACACTGAGCCCTGATTCAGGTCACGTGCTGAAACCTGACCATGATCACACCCTGAAACCTGACCCTGGTCATAGACTGAGCCCGAACCTGGTTGCAAATGAACTGTGACCCTAATCACAACCTTCCAATACAGTCTGAAGCACATCACAGAAGTAATACCAACAATAACTGTCCTTTTCAGACTGTTTACTACATGCCAGACTATGTCAAGTGCCATAAATATATCACCTAGTTCAGTCCTCACCACTCCGAGACAGGTGGCATCATCCGCCTCACAGGTGTGACTCAGAGTGGTTACTCAACCTTCCGGCCGTCGTAGGCCTGCAGCGGCAGAGCCCGCAGCTGCGCAGTCCGCATCTGCACCGACACCCTGGCTCCAGGCCAGCTCTAGAGGTGGACTCCTGGGTCTCATCTCCCCTTGATCTACCACCCTGGCCAGATCTCATCCCACCCTGGCTCCCAGGGTGCCCACGTACCCGCCTCTACCACCATCTCAGGCCCCTGTCCTGGTCAGCAGCCCCTGCAGGCCACTCTGAACCCCCAATGCCAGAGCCTCTGCCCACTCAGACCAGAGTCCCCATGCCCAACGTGTCCATCGAACTCCAGCAAGGCCAAGCTGGGCAGCACCCTTCTCTCTCCCTGCCCAGCCAAGCTCACTTCTGGCCACCTCCCCAGCTGCCAGCTGGGCTCACATTCCTCACTCCTGCTGGGACCCCTGGGTAGCCAAGCCTGACTGTTCTCTTACTTCCCAGCCTGCCATCAGTCCATTCTGTACCTGGCTCCTGGAGGAAGCTCAGGCTTCCCCCAGCCCCGCAGGCCTTGCTGGCCACCGGTCTCTCTGCCTCTCCTGCCTGCTGAGCCCACGCCTGTACCCACTTCCCCGCAGCTTCATGCCTTCCTCATCCTGCAA